TGTGTGTGTGTGTGTGTGTGTGTGTGTGTGTGTGTGTGTGTGTGTTCGCGGGCGCATGTATTCTAGTGAGGTCCAGGTGGGGTCTAGGTCTTCTTAACATCCCCATGCCCTTGTCAAGATGTTACACTGATTTCAGAATACAGTGTCTCCATCAGGAAAGTGACTCGCAACTGTGTCTCATTGTTTAGTTCAAGAACTTGAACCACTTATCCCCCAGGAATCTCCCCAGGAAGAACTTGCCCAAGCCTGCTGTCTCCATGGTAACTGGATGCCTCCTAGGAACCAGACTGCCCTAAGTACCAGTCTCTCGTCGTCAGGTAGCCCTCTTACTGTGGGTTCTGCTCTGGTGTTCCAACTCTTGTATAAAACTCGTTCATCATTTTGAATAAAGCAAGTGGACTTGAGATTGTCTGCAGTGTTTGCTCTCGTGTCTTCTCATCCTTTCTGATCCTAAGGCCAGGGTCATTAGGATGTGCTCCGATAGCAGAACTGACGTCATGTTTTGTTTTGATAATTCAGACAAGGTCTTTTTCTGTAGCCCTGGTTGTCCTGAAACCTACTTTGTAGACCAGACTGACTTCAAACTCCCAGAGATCTGCCTGTGTCTGCCTCCAAAATGCTGGGCCTAAAGGCCTGTACCACCAGGCCTGGCTCTAGAACAGAACTCTCAAAAATACAATTTATGGCTAAACCTGGTTGGCAGCCAGGACTACTGAGACCTTGTCTCAAAACTTTAAAATACACTTAAAAAAAAAAAAAAAAAACAACTTTGGACCCTGCCACTTCAGCCTCCTGGATGGTAGAATTATTATGCTGGGCTAAAGGTACACTAAAAATAAACAGAGCTAGTGAACTGGAGACACTGCTCACTGGTTAGGAGCACTTTTGCAGAGGAACTGGAGTTTGGTTCCCAGCACCCATATGGTACCTCACAGCTTGAACCTCGATGTGGGGCACATGGAACCATGTCACCAGGCAAAAACTGGGAAGGCTGAGCGGATTTGGAAACCCCGGTGTTTCTCGTATCTGAGAACGGTAAGAGTTTCATCTACTCCTGACCCGGTTCCTGTCCTGGAGCATCCACACCCTGGAGCACGACACCCCACATGAGGACGGTGACCACCAGTCCCACAGGACAGAGTTCTCCATGCTAATGCTACCGGTATCTAGACGGTCCTGAGGGTTTAGTCAATAAGCTTCCCTTCCTGGACATTCTTTCCTGCAAAAGGTATTTAATCCCTGGCCCACCCCGAGAAAGTTGTAGGCACGCATTTTCCACAATTAACAGTGAAGAAACAGCTTGGGCAAGCAAGGACTGTATCTCTCATCAAGAAGCACCATGGGGGGAAACTTTCTTCATACATAGCCTTACCACCTAAATATCCTGCAGAAGGCCCTCTGGGCTACCAGACACTCACCCTTGAGCTAAGCCAGAGATTCCTCCCCTGCTCCCCCCCCAGCTCATCTCCATCTGTAGTAGCACCCAATTAATTACTTAATAATTAATTAATTATTAATTACGGCGGGGCCATGTTCCTCACTGTCCTTCCCAATGTTCTGGGTTCTCGAATGAAAGACACATAGAGCCTTTATATTTTGATATGCCTAAAACAGCTCAGTGGCTGGGCCATTTCCTAACTTCCACATAGCTAATCCACCTCCCTCCGATAATCTCAAATTATTACGTACTAAATCCTATATTCCATCTCAACTGCCCTGGACCCAGACATGCAGCCCTCTTGAGCTGACTCCCCAGCTCCTACATAGCAGCTATGCTTTCTGTGGCCCGCTTCCTCTGGGTATCCTGGAGGGAGTTTGGGAACCCCCTTGCCCCAGGCTCATCACTGGCCGTGCGGCCCCCTAGTTCCTGACTCCACGAGATTCCCAGAGGTGACTGGGCACCGGGGAGTTTGGAAACCCCTGCCTCCTTGGCCTCAGTCTGCATCATTCCTCTCTGGGCTGGGACCCCCATCTTAGGCTGTGTTCCACCCCCCCTGCACTCTGATAACAGTAAGGATGGATGGAATGTAGCCTAGTGCCTGAGTGGAGTTCACTCACCCCAGCAACAGGACTGAACAGAACGCAGAACCATACCTCAATTCCAGTTCTAAGGAATCCAGCACCCTCTTCTGGCCTGCAGGCACCAGGATTGCATGTGTTGCACAGACATACATGAAAGCAAAACACTCAAAAGTAAATAAATCTAAGAAACAGAATCTGGAGTCCGGAGGGTGTGGTAGCTCACATCTGTAGTCCCAGCATTGGAAGGGGTCAATGTCTTCGACTAAAATAAGGCTCATACATTACACATCCTGTAGGGTCAGAAGGCAGGAGCCTTGAGACAACGCCCTTGTGTATGGTTGAGGTTTTTCATCAACTACCACTAAGAAGAGACATAGCCTGCCACTTAAGCCCGAGGCTGTGGCTATAGGATCGAGCTTTTCCGGTTGCTGGGGATCCTCCCACCATGGCTGGAGCTCTCAGGTATGACCGTGCTGTTTCTTCCAGGTAAAATAATCACTCTAGCCAGGCAGTGGTGGCACATGCCTTTAATCCCAGCACTTGGGAGGCAGAGGCAGGCGGATTTCTGAGTTCGAGGCCAGCCTGGTCTACAGAATGAGTTCCAGGACAGCCTGGGCTAGACAGAAAAACCCTGTCTCAAAAAACAAAAAACAAAAAAAACAAAAAACAAAAAAATAATCACTCTTCCCAGTAGGATGTGGTTCAGTGGAAGAACACTTACGATTGTATGTGTAAGTATGTTGGTATGCTTAGGATTCATTCTCCTCCGCCACAGGCCAGCAACAAAGCAACTCTGGTCTAGTGTCTAGCCAAAGCTGGAACCCCATTTTGTTCTGTGAGCTGAGACTGCTCAGGTTGGTCTAGTGGGCTTTCCAAATAGCTGGGATTCTAGGTGTGCACCATCATCCTAGGCTGATTTGTGTTTGCTATCCTCACTGTACCAAACTGGACCACTAGTGTATCTGTGAAGCATCTGTGAGTGGACCAAGCTGCCACTGCTGACCCGCGAACTGAACTGCCAGTTTCCAGACGACACAGACGGGAGCTGCTCCAAAGACCCTGTGATGGCTTGTATATGCTTGGCCCAGGGAGTGGCGCTATTAGGAGGTGTGACCTTGTTGAGTAGGTGTGGCTCTGTGTGCATGGGCTTTAGTGCTAGCTGCCTGGAAGTCAGTCTTCTGCTAGCAGTCTTCAGATGAAGATGTAGAACTCTCAGCTCCACTAGCCCACGTCTGCCTGGACGCTGCCATGTTCCTGCCTTGATAACGGACTGAATCTCTGAACCTGTAAGGCAGCCCAAATTAAATGTCATTCTTACATTCTTATAAGAGTTGTCTTGGTCATGGTTTCTGTTCACAGCAGTAAACCATAAGACAGAACCTTTCTAAACAGGTTCACTGCCCTGTCCTTTCTTTTCCACTACTTCTGGGTGGGTGATGGGTTACAAGGAAGGTTAAAGTGTTTAAGAATCATCATTAAAAGTAGAATTTGAGCTGGGTGGTGGTGGCTCACTCCTTTAATCCCAGCACTTGGGAGGCAGAGGCAGGCAGATTTCTGAGTTCGAGGCCAGCCTGGTCTACAGAGTGAGTTCCAGGACAGTCAGGGCTACACAGAGAAACCCTGTCTCGAAGAAAAAAAAAAAGTAGAATTTGAAAAAGATTAGTTACATGTCCCACTTTAATTTTCCTCAACTTTAGAGGGAATTAGTGTTCGATTTCCACGAACCTTCTTGAACTTGCATCCACACAGCCCCACAGTGGCCAGATCACCAACAGACTCCAAGATGAGCACTGTAGTGTGTGGTGAGACGAGAACTTTGGCCCAGAGCTCACTGTAACTGAGGACGACCTTGAACTCCTGATCCCCCTGCACCCATCCACCTTTCAAGTAGTAGGATGACAGGTTTGCACCACCATCTCTAAATGAACTTCTGCACAGGGCTGAAATGAAGCCCATCTAAAGACACTGAACAATGAGCCCTTCACCCAACCTAGCAAACCTGAGCTGAGATGGTGCCTCAGAGCATCAACCAGCGAGCTTTACAGCGCCCCCCAAGGTCCGAACTCAGAATCACCCTGAGGGCGCGAGGGGCGTGGCCTTGACGATGCTCTGCCCCTGGGCGTGGCCTGGTGGCGGGGCGCGGCGGGCTCCCTCGGGGTCCGGGCTGGCGGACACTTGGCGGCCACGCACGATGGAGTCGCCGGTCGAAATGCTGGCCGCGCTACCCGCGCTGGTCACGGCGCTAGCGCTGCTGCTCGCCTGGCTGCTGCTGCGTCGTGGGGCGGCCCCGGTCCCGGAGAGCACCGCCCCGGCCGAGGCCCCCGGGGCTCCTGCGCCGCCTGAGCCTTCTGAGCCCTGCGCCCCGGAGCCAGCACCCACGGGACCGTGCCAGTCCGAGCGCGTGGCGGAGCCGGGGGAGCCCGAGGCGGAGGAACCAGCGGCCGAGGAGAGACAGGTACGCACCGAGGTCGCCGTGGGGTCCCCAGGAGGGGACCTACAAGCCTGCTGGCCGGACCTCCCCAGGAAGGACCGAGCCAATGGCCGGCAGGAAAGGAGGGTTCCTGTGGCTGGGATGTTCCATCCTCTCCCAAAGTGCCTCCGAGTGCCTTGCTTTGGAGCTGTCCTCCCTTCCTCCCCGCCCTGGCCCTCCCGAGCCTCCCAAGGCCCTTGACACTCTGCCCTGTACTCTCCACTTGCCCCGCTACTGCCCACCCTTGCCTAAATCCATGGACACGTGTCCTACTTCAAGCTCTGAATTGGAGTTAGCTTACTCTTGACAACACAGTACTTTGGGGTGGGATGTGCAAGAAGAGAAGTTGCCTGTGTTTAGGTCAACTTGAATCCAGATTCCAGAGTCAGTGTGGGTATTTTGTGAGGCTAAGAGGACAGGACTGAGAGGGAGGCACTTACTGGGACCATGTTATTGTAGTTTTCAAACTGCTTGTAGCGTTGACACCGCCCACCCCCCAACCCCCGCAGTCCCCACCCGGCTTATATGGAACAAAAGGTGCAAGAAGAGGCCCTTCTGCTTCACAGCTGATAACCCCAAACTACCTTCCCCACCTCCTAGGAACCGGCCATCAGCTGACCAGCCTTCAGGGTACCCCTCATGCGCTCAGTCTCTGAGATCCATCTTTGTAGATTGGATCCGTGCTTGCCCGGGATACCGGGATGTCACTGCACTAGGTCAGGCCACCCACTCTGGTCTCTGGTCAGCTTTCAATACTTTGTTCTTCTTAGTGGTGCTTGGAGGGCAGGCTGCCAGCATAGTGGAGGCTGTAGGCTGGCCGCTTCGGTGCGTGGTCAGCATACCTGCCGTTGTCCCCTTCCCTTGCCAGATACAATGGTTTACCCTGGAGTGAAGCTCTTGGGACAGGAGAGGCGGCAATGAGACGGGGCTCAGGCTTCTCTCTGTGCTGAGTCTGCCAGACTCCCTACCAGCCGGCTCTTTGCTTGACAAATGGGTGACTAATTGTGTCATTAGAGTGGCTTCTAACTAGCCCCTAGTAGAACTATTGTGTTCAACCCCAGGAGAATGGAGGACTACTGGAGGTGATGCTGGGGGCTCACAGACCTGGAGGGAGGGGCAGGTAGGTTTGGAATTCCTCTCAGGCTCCCCCTGGTTGTCTCCATCAACCCTGGTTTCAAATTGTTCGCCTATTGCTCAGCAGCGGATTTGAGACCAAAGTCCAAGGTGTCTTTAAGCACAGCCTTACCTTGATCCTCTGGAGTAGAGCAATTTCTTTGTTGTTGTTGTTGTTTTTGTTGTTGTTGTTGTTGTTTTTGTTTTGTTTTGTTTTTTTTGAGACAAGGTTTCTCTGTGTAGTCCTGGCTGTCCTGGAACTCACTCTGTAGACCAGGCTGGCCTCGAACTCAGAGATCCACCTGCCTCTGCCTCCCAAGTGCTGGGATTAAAGGCGTGCGCCACCACCGTCCGGCAAGTAGAGCAATTTCTTAAGGGACTTTCTACAAGGTGTTTCTTCACACCCATCCTCGAATGGGGTTGTAATGTGGAAACAGGGACCTTCACATAATTTACCCAAGTGGGCACTTTGGATTTTTTTCTGGTTTCAGTTGGTTGGTTAACTGAGATAGATTCTTGACATGTAGATTGGGCTGACCTGGAACCCACTACGTATTCAAGGCTGACCTCAAACTCAAAATCCTCCCGCCTCAGCTTCCCAAAGCCTGCGGTTTAAGCTGAGTGAGCCTGGCGACTCTCGCTTTTATTCTAAGCACTTGGGAGACAGAGAAGAACAGATCTCTGTGAGTTCCAGTCCGGCTTGGTCTATATAATGAAACCCCCATCCCCAAAGAACAACACAAAACCCTAGGATCACAGGGTTCAGGGATTTCAAGATGGCGCTGGGCTATAGTGAGGGAATCCACCCAACAAGAAGGCAGTTTCAACATTTGGAGATCAGGAGCATCTCCTGTGAGCATGCTCCAACTCCCTCTACTCCTGCCCTAAATGTCGAGTGGCCAGAGTCCTGGGTGAGGGCCTGAGAGATACAGGTGTCTTTGTGTCCCTTCCATTCTAGTGGGGGCTCAGTGCTAGAAGTAGCTGCTTAGAGAGATTGTCTTGAAATAGACTCAGACATTTCCAAGTGTTTCCAGCGCTTTCTTCGGATCGTGGTGCCTGGGGAGAGGAGGGAAGAATGCTCCCCTGGGGAAGATAACTCCAGTTGGGACTGGAAGCTGCAGCTGGATGATGCCCTCAGAGAAGGCCTCCTCCGTGGTCCCCAAGTGAAAGACAGAGGCTGGGGATCAGGGACCACCCCACCTGCTGTTACTATAGAAGCCTGAGAGGCTTGACTGTGCCCCCACAACCCAGTCTCTTCTTCATTTTCCATCAACTTCCTTCCGAACTCAGTCTGCTCCTTCCCTGGCGAGGCCTGGGCAGCCTGGGGCAGCTGCAGCCTCTGACTCACAAAGCTGATTATTGAAAAGGATTGGGGAGGCAGCCTTCAGCTGCTGCTGTAGATCCTTTGGGCAGCCTCCGCTCCTGCAGGCTGGGTGCCCTGCAGGCTGGGACCAGGTGGTGGGCAGAGGCAGTTATCGTCTGAGGCCCTGAGTGGAGACTCAAAGCTTAGGGGGTGGGGGAGGACCAACCTGAAGTCAGGCAAGGCCACCTTTGCCTTCTTCCACACTCTCTAGCAGGTTACAGCTTGAGCTGGGGGGAGTCTGAGAGGGCAGAAGATTATTGTTACTACAGTGTGCTTTCATCTCTCTGGAGCAGGGGGAGTACTTGGGGCTGGCAGTGCAGGAAGCATGGTGAGCATACCTAGTCCCCTCAGAGAATTACGAGGCAACAGGGTCCAGACAGAAGCTGGACCTTCTTAAAGCCAGGGAAGAGTTTTCTTGCTATTTATTTATTTTTGTTTGTTTATATTTCTAGACAGGGTTTCTCTGTATATCCCTGGCTGTCCTGGAACTCATTCTGTAGACCAGGCTAGCCTCGTAGAGATCTGCCTGCCTCTGCTTCTTGAGTGCTGGGATTAAAGGTATATATCACCACTCCCCAACCCCCAAATAGTGTATTTTTTAAATTATTTTTTATGTGTGAGTGTTTTGCCTGTATGTATGTTCAGTACAGAAGCCAGAAGGCGCTATCAGATCCCCACCCCCCAGGAACTAGAGTTTCAGGGGGTTGTGAGCCATCAGGCGGGTGCTGGGAACAGAACTCTACAGAAGCAGCAAGTGCTGAGCCGTCTCTTCAACCCTAGACATTCTTTTCTTTTTTTTTTTTATGTATATGAGTACACTGTTGTTGTCTTCAGACACATTAGAAGAGGGCATCAGATCCCATTACAGATGGTTGTGAGCCACCATGTGGTCGCTGGGAATTGAACTCAGGACCTCTGGAAGAGCAGTCAGTGCTCTTAACCGCTGACCCATCTCTCCAGTGCCGCAGACACTGCAGGCACCTGTCACCTTACCCTTCCCTAAGCAGCACTCAACCTTCGCTTGACAGTAGATAACAGAGACGGTAGAAGTGGCCAGCAGCAGGGTGCAGTGAGTAAAGGTGTGTGCCACCTAATGACCGAGGGTCTATATGGTAGAGGGAACCAATTCCCACAGGTGTCCTCTGACCGACACATTCGCATACGCGCACGCATGCATGCACATACACACACACACTAAAAAGTTAAAATTTTTTTTACATTAAAATTCTTATTTTAGCCGGGCGGTGGTGGCACACGCCTTTAATCCCAGCACTTGGGAGGCAGAGGCAGGCAGATTTCTGAGTTCGAGGCCAGCCTGGTCTACAGAGTGAGTTCCAGGACAGCCAGGGCTACACAGAGAAACCCTGTCTCGAAAAACAAAACAAAACAAAATCTTATTTTAAATGAGTGCTTTGCCTGCAAGTATAGACCTGTTACCTATGTGCCATCTCTACCTGGTGCCCTTGAAGGACTGGATCTCTGGAACTGGAACTGGAGTTTAGGATAGGTTGTTAGCCACCATGTGGGTGCTGAAAACTGAACCCACGTTCTTCCAAGAGCAGCCAGTGCTTTTAACCTGAGTCATCTCCCCAGGCTCTAACATTTTCTTAATAATAACAATAATAATAATTTAAAAAAGCAGAGACTGAAGAACACCCACCATGGACAAGGGGAAGTTCCCGGAATGGTTTTTCTGCTATGTAGATTCTTAGTTTTTGAGAACTCAAGAGTCTGGAGATAAAATCTCAAAACGTGGAAGTACCTCCTCCTCCAGAACTGTCGGCTGCCGGTCTGGGTCAAACCGCCCACATCTCCCGCTCCTGGGGAATCCAAAACTGGCCTACCCTCCGGACGAAGCCTTGAAGAGCTTTTAGAAGCCACCCGCCCACCTGTCGTTCCTGTGTGCGAGCGTGTGTCAGTAAGTGGTCTAGGCCCAAACTTCTGTTATAGTTTGTTTATCAAAGCCATCCAACCTGGGTTTCCTGAATGAATGACAACATTCTCCAACCTTCTTAGCTCTGACTTCCTCAATCTCTTCTTGATTGTCTTGTCTATTTTAAACCTGTTTATTCTGAAACGTAGCGGCTGGACTTCAGCCCAGCATCTGCCCTGGGGACTGGGTAGAGTGCCGACGGATGCCCACAGGGCTTTTGTGTGTCTGTTTCATTCTAGTTTTATGAAGCTGGTCTCTTCTAAACCCTGTCATGAGAGTACTGCCCAAAACTGTTAATCTGATGGGATTGAGTCTGTCATGCCTTTTCTCATTTGAGTGAGTTTGCTTAAGGCTAGCAAATGTGCCCTTGCCTGGGCTTAGAGCCTGGGGTGGAGTTTTTGGACTGGATGTCTGAACAGGGTAGGGGCCAGGGGTGTGGGTGCTAGCCATAGAAACCAATGAGTTGGTCCATCTCTCACTCTCAGTCTGCCCCCTCCGCACTTTCATTCTTCCCCCACCCTCCCTGCATAAGCTAGTCGCTTACCCAGAGCATACATGTGTGTAAGCATGCTCTCA